GTAAAATTATTTTTGCAAATGCAAAATACTGTACATAATACAATTATACCAACTGATTACGTTTCTTGGCTTGTAGCTGCACGTTGTTTCCCCACACACAAAAAACACTTTTCAAATACTTGGGGACTGTTTATATAAAAATCCCAAAATACTATTACAACCCACCTTATATAACTCTTATATGAAGTACAATGAAACATGAACTCATTAAAAAATAAAAAATCTTTGGGGCACCCCCCCCAAAAATGTAGACCCTGGGCTACTGCCCCTTTAAGCCCCTTCTAAAGTCTGATCCAGGTTGTAATGTGCTAAAATATCAAAAAGGGTTTGAATACTTTTGCCACTTATAAAACAGACATAAACAGCCAAGAACTGGGTTAGAAATCAAGGGATGTAAAGTAAAAAAAAAAAAAGAATTGTGTTACTTTCCACTACTGCATGCAGTTTTTCTTCAGCCCGGAAATTGCGAAATGTGTCTTCCAGATCAGGAGGGAACCAAGAACCTCGTTGGCCTGAAAAGAGTAAATCACCACAATGAGCTCCTGATCAAGAGGCAAAATATATCCATTCATCACACTTTGATTTCATTTTATCCGGACTGTGACCATCTGCCGTCATCTGCAGCTCCCCCGGTTAAGTGTGAGTCCATTGAGAGGCATGAGAGCAGAAGTGAAAAGTCTGAGAAACAGTCCTGTGTTGACTCAATCCGCCCCCGGCCCCTCCGCCTCCTACTTCCGCCTCGGCTCTCCCTGTCCGGCTACGGCTGCACATCTGAACTCGCTTTAAATCACAGCACAGCGTTGCTGCCAGCACCTCAACATTTATTTAGAAACCAGACTGCAGCTCAATCAAGGCTAACTAAATGTGAACGTTTGGGAAGAAGGCATCAGGAAGTGGGCTTTTGAACAAATTGTGCAGAGCTAACTTTTTGGGAAAGGGGAAATGAGCTGCATTCCAAACACATTCCTGAACGAAAATATATATATAAAAAGCTGTCATTGATTTTGATGAATGGATTTTGGGGGGGTTGGATAGGTTGGGAAATCCAAAGCTCATTATGTAGTCTAAAAGCTGTCACATGGCTTGTGTCAGTGACCGTACTCCTCCCATCAAACGCAGCCGCATCCAGGCCCAAATTCCTCCGCTCCAAACAGAATGGAAATTCTGCTTCCTCCCCGGGTTCGTGAGTCATTGACAGTCGCTGTGGAGAGTCGGCCCTTTTTCCTGCTCCCAGTCTGAGTCTCAGGGTGTGTCTGCCTGTGACCTCATCTCCTCAGGAAAATTACAATCCACAAACTTCAGCAGCAACAGGCACGGAGCCTCCGCAGTTTTGCTTTCCGCACAGCAACAAGCCGGGAAAGTTTACGGAGAAACATCCCGGCTGGGTTACTGCAGCAACTCGGCGGATGTTGAGTCCCGCGCTCGGTTCATCCAACCTGTCTCCCACCCTGGTTTCTGTTAGCAATGCTTCCAGTTCCTTCTCTTTTGTTTCTTATTTTTTCAATAGGAATTTTAAAAAGCAAAAGTTCACATCCAAAGGACCGTGTACTGCTGGCCTGACCTGGGAGCAGGGAATTATAGATTTGTGAAAGGAGCCTTTGTTGTCAAAATACAATACGTTTCGCGTGGCAGCACTGCCTTTGGACCAGACGCAGCAAAGTCAGCAGATAACTCACTTTACAGAAGCAAGAACACAACACACACCACTTCATGCACACGGTCAGACTCACCTCACTTGTCTGAGGTTGTGACAGATCCACTGGGACGAAGATCTACTTGGTGTTGGATAGAGGATCCCCTATTCAGACGGCTGGTGGTGGTGGAGTCTGCGCTCTCAGAGAGAAAACCCCTGCTCTCTCTCTTTCTCTCTCTCCGTGTGACGGAGCCCTGTCCATGTGGCTGGATGGGAAAAGGGAAATAAACTTTCTGGGCAGGGCGCCAACAACAGTGTGGGTTTTAAAGAAACAGCAGTAGAACAGGCCATATAAGGTCGAATGATACGGCTGATCTAGAGCATTACATGCACCACACACATACTCTGAAAAGCCAGTAGATACAGTATGATGTGGTTTGTGAGAATACTGTTCCGATTACTTCACATCTTTCATTACCGTTACATAATAAAGCTTTCTGATTCATTGGTTTATTTGCTATTAATATAATAGCATAACTTCATTTTTAAAAGATAGAAACATGCTTTTTGTAACCTGTTTTTAGAAAACTTGATAAATTTATGTTGAAGGAAGTAGAGCAAAGACAGCTCTTTGGGATATACAAGTGGCTGACCTTTGACCTGGAACTAAAGCCTGTCTAATATCAGGTTTTCTCATATTTCACGGGAGCAGAAACATGGCGGTGGCCCATGAAACACGATCAAACAATGAGCAGGTTCAAAGCGAGATTTGATCAAATGTTGCAGTGAATTGTTGAGGAATCGTGAACATCATTTCTGCCCTACATTAAGTAGCGGAGCAAAAAATAAATAAATAAAATAGTGGATGCAATCAAGCCTTAAAAAGCAATGAAAGCGGTTTTCACTTCTGTAACAAAATGCAGAAATGAAAACATCAAGGCGGTGCCTCCCTCTGGTGGCTTTGTTTTACACAGTTTCTTTTTTTTTATTTCTTTTTTTTATGCCTTTGGCGAGAAAGCAACTGGACGCCAAACCTTGACTACCTCTGTCTCAGTCATCAACTTTCTGACAAACATGTAAAAAAGGCCAAATATAGCTCTGTATAAACTACAGATGTAACAAGAAGATTTAAAAAAAAAAAGCATTTAGGTTTTTTTCCTTCAAAATGCACAGGACGATGGAATCATTTATCACTTTCCCTCCACTCCCCAGTTTGACTTGTCTCACTGTGTGTTGGTCTATCAAAAATAATCCAGGATAAAATACGCCTTAGTTTGTGACAAAACATACAACAGTTAAAATGGTACGAAAACCTCTATAAGGTCTTGCATGTTGAAGCCTTCCTGTTGGCACACCGGCCAGCCTTTCCTTTGAAAGAGAAACAGGCCCACAGCATCACAGAACCTCCACCCTGCTGAGCAGTCAGTACAAGGATGCCAGTCTTTGCTGAAGTGCTCTAATGCTTTCAGCTTTTCAGCTTTCATTTTATATCCCATCAAGTAGATGTGATTAATTTGTGTACATTTTCTACATTTGTTGCTCTTACTGTTGTTAGAGCTCGTCCAGAAAGTGTTGATGCTACAGCCTCATTATAAAATGGATCCATTTCTGTTTTCTTGTTTCTGTTTTCTTCCGTACCTTCACCTCACAGTATCTGCTTCATGTGTGACCTTACCAGCGGTTAAAACCACAAGGCTAATGCATAGTGCTTTAGTCTTTTCCTTTACTGTTTCCTTCTTAACTAATTATTTTCACAGTTTTGCTCTGAACAGGTTTTACTGGCCCTGTAACCTGGCAACAAGCAGCTGGCTAATACGCAGCCACTGACTTGTTTTTTTTGTTGTTGTTTTTTTTCACATTTCTCAGAAGCTACATAATAAAGAGACACAGTGGATGAAGTAGGCACAGGCCATCTCTATACCATATTACCGTATGGTACCAGGCGAGGCTTTGAATATTGAAACTGAGTCATTTTTCCCTAATGGATCCAGTTCTCTTCTTCCTACTGAGAACCACATAAAGTGATTGATAGCAAGTTTTTCCGTCTTTTCTTCATGGCCTCTATATCCCGATATATGGGCAACTACAAAGCAAACGGTGAGTTCAGTGCCTTTTACTGAGAGAGACGCTTACAAAGCTGCAATGACCAATTTAGGGGCCATTCAGGGACAACAAAACAGACTGTGAACTTTTATCTATCATCACCTCTAGTGTTGACAAAAGGAACAGTCGCCTGCTCTGACAACAAATGAGATGGAGGTGAAAAAACATTTGTGGGCTGAGCAACACACTGCAGCCCTGGAAGGTCCGGGGAGCTGCAGATCCTCAGAGTTTCGTAACATGGCGCCACGGTCCTCATACTGTTACATTTACCTGGGTTTCATAGAGGTAGCTCTCTGTAAATAATAAGCACTTTTGTACCTGACAGATTCTTTGTGTGCCTAGTAAAGACGAATATAAATTAATCCTATTGAAGTGTGCAAATGGTGAAGAAACAACTTACAGTTATGAGAAAACTGGTGGCCATGTTGATTAGCCTGAGCAACAATGCAGGCTGCAGTGTGGCACAGCACAGAGCTGCTAGTACATGAGTGTGATTGACAGCACCAAGACCCTCCTCCTGGATCCGATTGCTTGTTTTTAACCAAGTAACTGAATTCTGTAGATTATTAACCACAGGAAGAAAAGGAAAAGGAGCTAGCTTTTTAAAAATAGATTATGTCTCTCATATTATGCTGTCAGAACATATAGTTTTAACAAATTTGTAAAAACAAAAACATATTGTTTATTCAAGTTATGAGAGCAAAACTATGCTCCACAAGTTTATATAAAGAAACTGTTTCAGTAAACAGGCTGGCATATAGATAGCATCTAATGGTATATGGAGACGTTGTGAATCCGAGACTTCCCAGTAGCCATCCTGCTCACAGTCTGTGGTGAAAACAACAACAACAACAACAACAACAACAACAACAGGGCTAAAAAACCCCCAACATATTTATACTCCAAGGAAACAGAAAATAACAAGTAATGCATTAAAAAATTAACTGAAACTGAATGATCAAAAACATTTCTTAGAGTGACATCATTGCACTGCAACAGGACGTGGATTTATTTCAAGTCCTTTTCGCACATTATCCGTTTGCCGTGCTTGCACGAAACAATACTGACAAACAACAAACAAACAGTCATTTCTGTTGTTCCCATGTTCTCAAACACTAAATCCTTTAAGAAGCACGCATGTCCTATATGCCAGAAACTCATCGCACATTCAGCAGCCAGTGTCGGCTGTTGATGGGCTCCAGCTGCCCCCCCCTGACTGCAGCATGTGTGCGCATGGATGGATGGACGTTACATCACTTGTAGTGCGGCCAGACGCCAGCAGCAGCAGCAGCAGCATCCAGCAGCTCGGGAGGAAGGGTGCGAAGGAGGAGGAGGAGTAGTAGGAAGGGGGGACGACGCACAAACGCAGCTGGCCATATTGCACACCAGCTCCGCGCAAATCGGCTGCGTCACATCTAAGAAAACACGCACACGCAGCAAGGCTGGAACAAGAAAAGCCGAGCCATCCAGGGAGGAAGCGCACTGGTTCATAACGCGACTCGGCAGAGCTGGTGAGTGCTTGCATGCAGGAAAGAAAAGCATGTGGACGTTTATTCTTTTTTAAAAAAATGTAAATTATAACAAATCATGATGCAGTCAGTTTCCTCTCCTCTCGTGCGCTTTGGTTAATCTCCCACCTCCTGGCTCACAGAGCGCCTGACATCATGCAAATCGTTTCATCCATATGTTTCTCCATAAATTATCCCCAGAGCCACACACGCACACACACGCACGCGCACGCACACACACACACGCACGCACACACGGGGCGTCACTAACAACGACGCCTTCATTTTTAGCGTCACCAAGCGCTTATTTACACCCTTTTCTGTGCAGGGCAAAAATGGTGAAACTGGGGAACAATTTCGCCGAGAAAAGCAACGGGAAGGAGGCATCTGAGGATGGATTTGACACCATCCCTCTCATCACACCGCTAGATGCCAGCCAGCTGCAGTTCCCCCCATCCGATAAGGTGAGATTTCTGATTTCATTAGCTGATTTAAAGAACAACAACAAAAAAAATTCTATTAAAATTGAATATCCTTGCTTCCTCACGAGATCATTTAAAGCTGCTGCTGTGTGTGTGCGTGTGTGTGTGTGTGTGTGTGTGTTATAACCAGGTGGTTGTGAAGACAAAGGCAGAGTATGACGGTGAGAGCAAGAAGGGAAAGCTACGGTCCCCTAAAATTGCAGAGTTCTCAATAAGCATCATCGAGGGTGTCTCCGAGCGGCTCAAAGTAAGACCCATGATTCTCCTCCCTCATTTCCCAAATCCCTCACCCTCCCACAGCCTCATGTGTTGGAGGACGGTTCGTCTGTCCCCTCCTGCACGGGGCATCTGTCACTTTCCTCTGTCCACCTCAAGTTCCTCGGTTCAGGCACCCCCCCCCCCCTCTAAGCCCCACTCCTCTCAATGTCCTCATGTTGTATTGTGACACAGGGAGCCATAATGCATAATGATTCACTTAACCCCGCCCTGAGGCTCTCATTAATTCAGCTGCTGCCATGGAGATGGCCTCCACTTCTCTCCCACCTCCCCTTCCTCTATCTGCACCGTTCACACCTAATGATTCCTGCGTGTTATTTTAGTCTGGGAAAGAAACATGAGAAAACAGGTCGAGTTGGGCTGAACCTGCACAGGCGGTTGGGGGGTCTGCATACGGGGTTCCCTCCTTTGTCTCCACGTTCAGGATCAACAGGAGGACACCAGCTCTGCCAGGAACGTCGAGCTTCCTTTATGAAGGTTTGAGCCGCAGATATCTGGGAGAAGGAGAGACGCATCCCTGTCTCAGAGAACAGCAGGCCCTTTCATCGCAGACAGGCTCCTGTTGCTTCACTTTGTGTGCCGTCTGCTCCGCTTCGCAACCTTAGGATTTGATCAGACAGATAAAAGGCAGGAAACACTGAGCATCTGCATAGGATGTTCTGTTAGGGAAATAGAAAGAGAAAGAAAGAAAGAAAAAAAACATCCAACAATCCTGAAACCACCATTTGTTGGCTTCATTTTTTTTCTTTGCAAGCATGTAGCAGTATACGTAGCATGCCCGTTTATACTGGCTAATAAAAAATGGCTTAAACAGATATCTGGCACGAAAAGCACCATTTCTCCCACATCCTCTGCCATCCCGCTCTCCCTACTCTGAATCGCCAGTAGCTGTTGCGTAACTCTCCTGAGAATCGACAGTTCAGCCTCGCAGATGGCCACAAGAGCTTCATGCTGGTGGAATTACTACACACATTATTGTGCTGGAGCTCCAGCCGGTTTGTTACCAGTACAGTGAATTTCACATTTTGTCAAACGTCATGAAAAAAAGTGAAAGAGAAATCTGGCCCGGTTTTAAACTTTGTTTCATTTTTGGAGTCTGGATTTTGGTCTCGTCCAATCAGAGAGCACTCTGTTTCCCCTGCTGTGGATCATGCCACACTTTTCAGATTTTCATGCGACAATTAAAGCCATGTATTATTGTCAGGCACTCGTTTTCACTTCACTTACTAGTTCTGCTGTACTTTTTGCTGGTCTGTCACATAAAATCCCATGAACATACATCAGAATGTATGATTTTTCCATCAGTGTTTCATTAAACACTGCTTTCCTATTTAACCTTTCACATAAAAAAGAAGCATACAACTGGAAGTAGCACTGATTGAAAGGCCAAAGAAAATCATTTAAAATATTGACATCAGTTGTTAATATCTGTGGAGAAAATATGTTTATATATAAAAACATGCTTGACTGATATTTGTCCCGATGCAGCTGCTGCACCAGATCTGGTTTAGATGTGAAACAATACAACACAATGGCAATTAGTAGACGCAGGATAAAATATCACAGATTACAAATTCAAGAATTTCTACCAAACCTCTACTTAGTCTTTGTTCAACATATCAATTTTGGTGCGGATTTTGAAACATCTAAGTTTGCGTAAGAAATCGGAGTGTGGAAAAGAATGAAAGTTCAAAACAAGAAACGTGGAGGATCTCTTCTTCTGCTCAGACCAATTCTCACTAAAATTAATTTCTCGGCACAATAAATGTACTGACGACAATGATTTTAACAAAAGAACAAAAAAAAGACCTCTGATTTGTTAAGCAAGCACAATATTTGCTGGAATAACCCAAGTAAGTCATTTATGAGAGTATAAGTCCCTTAATAATTGTCATTTGGATCATTTCTAAAAGTTGGAATTCGTGCTGTTTTGTATAATGATTCAATTGATCAATCAAGCCACAGGTTGAAACTTTCCCTTTTTAAAAATGAGCAAACTGTGGGTGAGTCGGTTGCACTGACGGTCATTTCCTCTGAAAAGAAGAAACTAAAGAAATTTGTAAAAACAGGAACTAAAAGACGTTTTAAATGGAAAACAGGAATTAGCAAAGTTATAAAAAAGTGTATTTATAAAGTTTTTGTAACCTTTTTTACACTACAAGCTGCATTCACACAGGTCGGCACAAGGTTTCATTACTTGCAGCATTCACACCAGATGATATGTTTATTCCTCTGTTGCTCCGATTTCGTACGCGTCCTGCTCTTCACTGGTTCAAGTTACCATTATCTGCTCTCATGGGGGCGTTTCTATCGCCTTCAGGTGACCCTGCTGGTGATCTGCGCCCTGGCCTTCCTGGTGTGTGTGGGGTTCCTGGTCGTCTACAAGCTCTACCAGTACGACCAGCCGTGTCCTGACAGCTTCGTTTACGTGGTAAAAAGTTCACCACCTTCCTTCTGCGTAAATGCTTAATATCTGAACTCGAAGAGAACATTGTTGTTGAATTATAATTCAAAGTTGGTGTGGCAAGCCTTTTTGGTGGAGGCTGAGTTTTGCTTTGCAGCCTGGCAGAGGCTTTTTTTGTTTCACTAACATTGGCCTTTCCTCTCATGTATCTTTAGATAGTCGCAGTGATTCATAGCTTAATCTTTGCATATTCTGTTGCTTTTGATGTTTGTGTGCCCATCGTAACTCGACGTGTCGTGTTGCCTCCTCCCGGAGCAGCAAGGCCACTGCATGCCCACCGGGCTCTACGGCAACTACCCCCCCCAGGGCCCCGGGGGCCGCGGGCGCCTCTTCACCCTCATCAACCGCTACAACATGGCCAAGCAGACGATCACTCGGTCGGTTTCTCCGTGGGTGACCATCATGTCTGAGGAGAAGGTGACCGAGCAGGAGATGGAGACCGCCCAGAAGCTGGCCTAAAATCTCCCTGGGATCAGGTGGCCTCGCGCCTTTGCTGCAGAAAAAAAAATAAACGACTGCGCCATTCAAGCAAACCGTGAATCCTGTGGATGAAAAACAAAACAAACAAACAAACAAACAAAAACCCATATTATCTTCCCTGAGGTGCTATGCTGCCTTGTTGATGTAGTTTTGGTCATGTGGAAATCTGTGGAGGTTCAGAGCACGTCGTCAGCACGGCGAGGCTCGGTTTGGCGGATTCACGATTTGTTCGAATTGCATACGTCGCTTATTTATTGACGCGACGAAACGGAGTGGTTGACATCGAAGAAACACGCGCACCGTCTTTGTACATACACACCCATATGAAGAAACTCACTTTAGTACTGAGGTCGCGAGCCATTCTGCGTCTGCATCGCCTGTCCGAGCGCACATGCACGCACGACTCGACTCCAGCGGCGACCGGTTCGCTTCGGATCTCGTTTTTTGAGCACCGACGACAGCTTTTCACGCCTCCGTTCTGTTCTTCTCACGAACTTAGTGCCGGTTCTGTCCCCCTCTTTCTAGCCCCCCCATCGATTGTATCCGTGCAGAAACATTTTAATGTCATGATATTGTGAAACGTTAAGCCTTGACCTAAACAGAAATGTACCAGCAAAAGAAATATTTTAAACTGTGTTGTTTTGAGTCCTCTTATATGGACTTCTTAATGATTGTTCCCACTTTACATGGACAGCAGACGCTTTTCTTTGCTGGCTTATTGTGTACCTTAACTACTTGCTTTTCATAGCACAACTTTAATGCTGTTGTACTGAATGTTTTTTTTTAATATTATAGTTTTTACTTTTGCAAGTGAAGACACTGTATTGTGTGGCGCTTTGCTTTGATTAATGTCACCACAGTCGGCGGTTCGCAGCCGCCAGAAACTAGTTTTAGCCTGATGTAGTGGAACAATCTGAACCTAGTGGCTTGTCCTGTTGCCTTTCCTTTCTCCTCTCTGTATTTGCCATTTAACTCGAACCGTCCCGATAAATGTACCTTTTTTTTGTTTTCTTTCTTCCAAGCAATGTGATGACTACAATTAAAGTGCATTTGCCACATGAAAATGTTAAAACGAACAAACGAAATAAAGTGCTGTCATTTCAAGCTGACGCCTGGATGTTTAAAGATTAAAGAAACGACTGAAATCACTCTGGTGAAACATTTTCAGCTCAGCCGGTGTGTTTGAACTTGTCTCTTTAGTGGATCCGCGGAGGGATGTAATGAAATGTACGCCAGTGGTCTTTACTATTGTGTGTTGCTAGTAAGATAGTCTGCCATGGTCTTGTTTTTTTTAAGGGTATTGTATTGATTTCCGGCAGGGTTTAGGTCAGGATCAGTTCAGATGTCGCCCTGGTTTTATGCCGGGTTTGATGTTCAGGAAATTTGTCCTGATGGGACATCGAGTTTCACCAGCTCAGGTGTCGATTCGAGGTGAAGTTGAAGAGTTTTGAAGCTGGTCCCCCTTCCTGACTCAATGCAGCAACACTAGTAGAGCTTGATTAGGAGGAGAGAGTGTTGCAAAGTCAATGACTTCGTGCTGCTGGCTGGACATTGTGGATTCGACAGGTACACACGTTTTACTAATTTGTAATTAGAAAATGATTTCGATTTGTGTGACAGCCACAAGCGCTGACAGAGACACAGATGCCCAGCATGATGCACTGGTGATCCAGCATCTTCCAGTTTGATGCAAACAGAAATCTTAGCGATTCCTGGGTTATTTTCAACATCCTCAACTCTTTCCTTCCCATTTAAAGGTGACAGTTTGGGACTTTTCAGCAGGACAATGATCACAAACAGACGATTAAAAAAAAACAAAACTGTTTTTGAGATGGTTAAAGCAGGTCAACAGATATCTGGAACTGAACTTAACTCTGTGATCTGATAGTCTATAAATGTTTACAGATTAGCAAAATTAGCATGCCGCAACTCTCAACAGGTACTCCTTGTTAGCTGAGGAAACAGCGACACACGGTGGCTTTCTGCAGATCTTCATCCTCCTGAAATTCCAGCCTAAGTTACTAAACTTGCTACCTTGCTAAAAATAATCAAAATCCAAATTAAGGTGTCAATTTTCACAAAAAATATTTGAGTCGATTGAATTTGAGTCGATCATTTTTTTTTAATTTAAAGGATATTTCCCATTATGTGGCAAGAGTTCAGGAAAACACCAGGTGCAGTCGAACGTTTATCACTTTTAGTGGTAGAATGAGACTGGTAGTCGATCCTCTGAATCCCATTTTCAGCTGGATACCAAGTTTTGTCCACTCATCCATCAGACCCCAGATTCACAGATCTGCATCAGGGACGAACGCACTTGAAGACGATCGTCACGGGAAAAACACAATCTGCAGCACAGCGAGCCGCGCCTTCAGTCCAAATGTTGCTTCCTAAGGCTTTAAACAGTCCAGTGCAGTCCTTCGAGGGAGCGCTGTTAACCGTCGTACCAGTCCAGAAACAAGAGCGAGAAGGAGCACATGACGAGGAAGAAGAGGATCCACACTCGAAAGCCAGCATTGTTTTTGATTGCCTTGGAAAACAAACAAACAAACAAAAAAGTTCCACTAGCTGTTTTCTTCCAAACACACAAAGCCAACATATAGTGGATACTTTTACCTACCTCTCGAATATCCTCATTGCCTTCTTTGACGTTCTCTGTTGCTCCCACGACCAGCTGGTGAATGTTGTCTATGTCGGTTTCCTGTTTCACAAAGTCAAGCGGACAGCACGCTTTTGCACCGGCGCAAATCGAAGCGCAGAATTTGGAGTGACAGAAACGGAGGGATCAGAAGGAGGTCGTCTTACCTGTTGGAGCACTTTTTCAGCAAAGATCTCCTGAAGACGTGAGATCTCCACCACTTTCCCTTCAATTTGCCTGGTAGGTTCAAAAAGTAAAACATCAGGAATGATCATGGAAACATACTGTATAAATCAAACATTATCTCGTCTTCAATGGCTTCTTTTAACTTCAGGGTTAAGCAGCTTCATTCCATTATAGATCACCTTAGCTGAGGTTTGAACAACAACTAAAAGCCTCACTGTCACAGTTATTTTCACCACAATAAACTCACCTCACTTCATCCACCAGGTTGTTCATTTCACTGACCAGTTTCTGGTTCTCCTGTTCAAACTGGAATATAGACACGTTTAAATGTTTCAAATCAATTCAGGACGAATGAAATTGAGACGTGACACATTATCTGATGTTAAAACCCTCAAACCAGTCGAATAACTACTTTTACAATGAAAAAAAATAAGACGTTTCCCCAAAGTTCTAAAAGTTTAAATTTTAGGAATGAACTATTTTTTTCTTTTATATCAGAGAGCTGATTCATATTGTTCAGTCAATGTTTTCAGCCTTCATGCTGCCCACCATCTGGATCTCCTCCGGGGAAAGCTCGTCCTCCACCCGGCCCTCCTCCCACAGGTTGAAGGAGCTGTCCTGAACTTCTGAGACGTTTTTCTCTACAACAAAGATGAAAAGGATCAGTTAAAAAGCTACAACTGAATAAAACTGGACTCAAAAGCCACAGCAGTTTCAGTTTTAGAAATGATAACATTTTCTATCAATTAACAAAAAAATGCATTTCAAGCTCCCATTTTTGTGGTAAATTTGAAGTAGAAATCAAAGTCGATCAGAAAATCAACAACACAGATTTATTACATACAGTGATTTATTTCCGGGGTTTAATTCTATTAATGCTGATACAAATGTTTTGCAGCGAATAAAGACCCCAAATTCAGCGTTTCAGAATATTTTCCACAATATGGAGCAGTGTTGACACTAAACCGACAACACTTAAGTTAAATACTTAAATAAATTACTCTTTTATTAAGGATGTAACTTTGTATTAACAAAGGAACTTTTCAGTCATATTCTAATTGCCTTTATGTGCTGAATGCTTGAAAACAGTTTCATAATTGTCATATTTTTTGTGAAGAATTATCATAGTTGCCTTTTATTGTCTGAATTTATCTAGTGCTAAAAACATAAACAACATGAGATTCTATATCAAACAAAACATTAAACATTTCAAAAGCAGAATAAGTTACTTCTGTGTAAACCAAATGAATCCTTGTTGGTGCAAACTTTGTATTTTTCAGTCATGTGATTCTGACTCCACAGCTGTCCCTCATTTGCTTGGCAAAACCTTTTGTCCTGCTGCCCCACACATAGCAGAGAGATATGATGCGTCTTTAAAATAGCAAACATTAAAAACGCAAAACCTTTTTTGGATCTGGTTGGAGCATTTGATGAGTAGTGTGACGATCAATGTCACTGGATTCTATAAAATGTGGCTTAAAGCTGAGATGCTGATTATTGGATATGTAAAAAGATATTCTTTCTGCATTTAAATCAATAAATAGTTTGGTTTTTGTCCGTTCTGAAAAGATACAACAGAACCAAGTGAATTTCTCTTTTATATATGCATTTATAACATAAAAGACCTCAAGAAAATGGCTTTTAGACGGCGGTCCACTGTAGCGACCACTATGTAGGAATATCAAAACTTTGCTTCTCTCTGCTTGATTGTGTCATTCACTTTTTCGTTTGAGAAGGCCTCTCTGCCTTAGATGGGTTTTTTGTTTTCACTCGGCTTCTCAGTCTTACCAGGACTTTCCTCCTTTACAACTTTCTCCTCTGCAGGCTCCTCCACCACGGTTTTCTCCACTTTACCGGGATGTTCTGGTGCCAGCCTCGATCTGAAACCAGTACACATCGCCCGCACTTACTTGAATGCACCAAGAATAACCGCAATCCCACGACAAAGTGTGGGAGAAATGTTTGAATGAAGCGGGCAGATGCTCACAGTCTCTTCTTGTCCACCAATCGTTTGACTCTAATGGCCCTCTGCTCAGAGTACAGCTTGCACACCCCTTAAATCCAAACGCAAAACACATCATAAAGATGTGCGTGTACTCAGGTTCGGTGCATACAGATGAGCCATGAAACAATAAAGCAGAAAATTACCTCTCAGATACATATCAATGAGATCCAGCACTGCCGCCCTGTGTTCCTTGATCTGAGCTGATGCCGCCTGCTTCTCCACTGTGGATGAAAGCAGTTCAACGTTTATTCACAGACACAGAGACGCAGGAACTTTTCAGCAACGATCCCTGCATGTAACAGCCATGTGAAAAACAACTGGGATTCAATATTAAATATTGTCCAATCCTATGTTTCTTTTTTCCTCTGGAAAAGAAAGTGATTTAAATGAAGGTGCACTACGAAAAACATTCAGACGGCAAAAGTGTCTTGCATCTCCAACCACGTTCACTAGGAGCAACATCTGCTTGACTCTTGATTTCTTGTTCCTTAACGTGCACTCAGCGTTCTGTGGACTCACTAACAGGTCTTGGGTCAAACCATGACACTTCCACCTCCAGGCTTCTGAGTTGGCATGAGGTGATTTTCTTGGTTTGGGTCAAACGTGCCTTTCATTCTCGAGTTCTGATAATTGTGAGGTCTGACAGCAAACAGATCCTCCTTGCACATCTCAACTTTTCCTCTTTATTTATATTTACATGCAAGACATTTTTCTAAAATTCCTTATGAAATACGCCTATGTATGTTGAAGGGTGTCGTTTTTTTTTTTTTGTCACACGATGTTATAAGAGACGGACAGCAGTGATGTAGATGAAGTGACTCCAACAGAGACCTTCACTGCGTAGCTGCTTGATGGCTTCAGAGCAGGTCCTCATGAAGGTCTGAGCGTCCTGGTCAATCTGGTCTCGCTCGCTGTCGGTCATACGGCTGTGGTCTGTAGAGATGAGACTGGAATGGAAAACAAAGCGTGTTTAATAAAGCAGTTAAATCATTTCATTGACTAACTGTCCCCTACGAAAACAAAACTCCACCCATTCACTGTGCCTCCAGCATCGCAGTAAATTCATGTTCACCCAAAAGGTAACTTAAGCATTTGAATTTGACTATGAATATATTAATGGCCTACAATAGAAACATACAGATATATTTTTGATAAGCAGAAAAAGCTCAAAAGTTCAAATATCAGGAAACAGCTGTTTTATTTGATTAATGTCACCTTCTGTTGGATTTGTGCTTTTTAAACCACACAATAAATAACACAAGGTTAAAGACTAATTCCCTCGTGTTTTGTTGTGTAGCATTGCAACATTTATTATATTTTGGGGAAAGGTTTAATGGCTATATCATAACAATTTGATTGGAAGTAAAATTATGGTACAATCGCAACTGTAATAAATCTTTTATGGCATTATGTTTTTGTCCAGAAGAGGGCGCTCTACAGGGTTGTTATTGCTACCGCCTGCTGCCTTAATGGACACGAGAAAGCAAGGCTAATATTTACAACAGAAAAATAAGAGAAGGTCAAAGACTGAAAAATAATGTTGATGTTTGCAGTGTAAAGAACGTTAAGCATGTTGCTTCATTTTAGTTTATAAATTTAGTTCATAAATCACAGACTATTTATTGTTAAGCATGGGGTTATGCTTTTTTGATTTCCTTTTTTTCTTCTTTTGCGATCTCCTTTGGTTTGTCGTTTTGTTGTATTTCCTTCTAACTCATGTAAAGCACTTTGAACTGCCTGGCTCCTGAAAATGCGCTATAGAAATAAAAATGACCTTATCTACCTGAAGTTAGTTTTTTTCTCAAAATGCCTCCTGACAACGGTCAATGTGACAAAGCTCAGAGGGGCTTTACTGTTTTAGAGAAAAACATACATTTAAATCAAGTAATAGTTAGTGGCTGGACACTAAAGAAACAAACGACTGCTGAATGATCCTGCACCAAAGCCATTTATCGTTCTCAATATTTCTGTTGATGTTTTTTGGCTGAGAATTTGTCAAACAATCCCTTAAATTTGGGCTAATCTCCACGCCCACAGACACAACGGCAGCATAAAAAACCCCCAGAAAGCTTTTGAGCAAAGGAAAGGCCGGATTAGTCCCTGGGCGTGATTTGCTCTACACTTGGTTGAAGCTCAATTATTCCAGACAATTAGACTGGAGCCTGCCACAGCAGACCACCCTACATGCTGCTGACCTTTCGCCAGAACTCACTGCCATCAGCGCACATACACACACACGCACACGCACGCACCCACACACGCACGCACACACACTCACACATATACAGAAAGCATACAGATTTATTTACATAAACATACCTTTTCTTCTCATTGGCTGACTTCAAAAATCAGAAAGGATTCCCAAAATTATTTCTATTTCATGCCAGAATACTGTAATTAATCGTGTGATTAATTACAAGGTTTGTCCGTGATGACCGTCACATCTAAATAAGTGGGACGCCTGACAAACGCAAGCCAACTGTAAAGTGCTAGAGTTGTAGCGTCACGCTATGAAGAGGTTTTGCTGCAGGAGGGATCGGTGCTCTTCACAAAAGAGATGACATCACGGAGAAACTTATGTGGAAATAGTGATCTGAAGACACCAAACGTGGAGTCAAAGCTTCGTTAGACTTAGTCACAACGAAACTGGAGGACAGCACAGTCAGTGTCTTGGAGCGGCCATCATTCTAGAAAATTTGTGGGCCAAGATGAAAAGATGTGTTTGAGCAAACAAGTCTGACTGGTTGCAGCTGTTCTGCCATGTTCCAGCAAACTACAGCAGGAACTTGTGGAAAAGACCCAAAACTATTTAAAATGGAATTCTATTAAATATTAAAGAAGAAAAATAAAATTTTTAACCTTTTCTTTTGTTTTTATGTTTTTAAATTAAACACATAATTTTCCTTTGGGATTAAAAATGTAATTTTGAATTTTGAATTCGAACTTCAAAGCAAAAAAAAAATTCTCTCCTTTATTCTTCTGACATTTATCATAGATGGAAATAGAAATGCTTAGGTCGTCGTTATCCTGACCGAATTGAAGCACTTTGGTCTGGATTAATGCCAAACAGTGTAGAAAAACAAACAAACAGCTATTTTGTGCGGTGACTGTAAACATCTGGTTTTAATTGAACATGATATTTTTCATCTGGTCTGCTCCGAGTTACTCTAATTGTCTGGAGAAGCTTACCTTCCGGCGCTCACGTAGTCTTTTCGGTGCTGTAGCAGAAAGTCTTTGAGCTTCGTGATGTTCGTTATCTGCCAAGACAAAGTGAAAAGACGCATTAACAGACCTGGGTCCACTGTGCCAATAAGACTCTTTGACCTGTGTACAAATTTGTTTCAGAAGGCGATTCATTCATCCAAAAGGAAACTAAATTTCTCCGTTACATTCAGACAGAGCCAGAGTAAAGTATCATTCAGTATATATACACTGGATCTGACAGATAGACTAATTCAGTAGATCTGACGTCTGTTTGACTTTTCAATATTTACTTACAGCAACTCATCAATTTACGTGCATAAAAAAAACTCAAACCAGCAATCTCCTCAATTAACAGCTCTCATAAATAAAAACATGAGCCTCTGCGCACACAGCACTGACAGAGCGATCTCTAATAAGCATTAAAATTATGATCCATTTATCATAGGCGAAATGTCTGGGTTTGTGTATGTGCGTGTGCTCAGGCAAAACCAGAGGAAACTTGGTGCGCTCCAATGTTTGCTGTTGCAATTTGGTCAAATATTAAAACAGACCAAATTGCTTCCCCCCGTCCGCAGGGCTCCGCTGCCAGGGTGAGAGTGGGTGTGAATGCACACACAGTGGGCTCTGTTGGGTCCAGAATACGACAGAGCTCAGACAAGCCCTGGATTGAAAAATGACACAATGAGTTTGACTGTGACAGCGGCCACAGAAGCGGCAGAGGGGGTGGTGTTTGGACAGCGCGACGACGCTGTCTTCAGCCTTCAGCCTTCTCACTCTAACAACCTCAATTATGAAATTGCCCTGGCTGCTAGAAGTAACCTGGCACCCGCTTTTAATGGCGGCTCTGAACATTCCTCACGACACGCCGACACTGAGCGGATTTATGAAAGCTGACGTCCGGGTAAAGAAAACGCTATTCCCAATCTGGAGAGAAGGAGACAAGCAGGGTTAACGAATTTGTCTGCTTGGAAAGATAACAGTGATGTAAGGCTCTGCGACGGGGTGGGGGGGAGCATGTAGCATGTTAACACAGGCAGGGGCAGCTGAGGTGAACCTATCCTTGTAATAATAGCATTACTTGAGGTCAGGAGCTAATTGTAGCTCAGTGTGACAGAGCTCAGAGGGGGTTCAAGGAGAACAGAGCACTTCCTATGGTTCAGGTTGTCAGGTTTGTAGCTCTTCGCAGCACATGAGAGAGGGGGACTCGTTTAACCAAAGAGGCTGACAGCACTACACAGACGACTTTCTGCTTTATTGTCTTTTAAGGTCACTTTTGTGCGAGGAGTTTCGAGGTAGAGAGGAGCAATGGTACAAGAGTTGGTACCATAACACATTTTAAGCTCATGAGCTCAAAAATTTTGATTTTTCCTAACTCACCAAGCAAACGTTAGAGATACAGGCCCATATAACAGATAACAGATGTAGAGTTAGTGTTTTAATTTTACCAACATATTTCTTCATACAGGATCAACATTAATTTGTTGGAGAGGCCAAGCAGAATCCCAACATGAATCTGACAAAGAATCTGTGGAGGAATCTAAAGATTATGGTTATGGCAAGGAGGGCTGCCATAACCATTTTGTCACAAATGCCAAGACATTTGTGACAAAAGTCATGTGACTTCTTAGTAAATTTCAAAGGGAGGTCTACCCAAATATGTGTGCATATATTTGAACCTCTATAGAATAACAGAAAATCTGTAATGAATGCAAACATGTGGTATCTATTGATGTTGCTGGTTATATTTTAAGTCAATCACAAAGAGAGATAACGCTCATTTTGGATTTAATAAAGACCCCAAAACTGGAACTGTAAACAAAGTGAAAACTTTGTTTTTGTTGGCTTTTACTGAGACAAAGCAACAGTTTCTATGATTATCGTTGGGCTCTGGGGAGTCGGTGAATGCATTTGGACACTAATATGACATCTGCAACATGGCATGAAATGATCAATCTTAAGCAGTAATGAGATAGCATGAAGAGCACAAAGTCATCTTCAGCTTATTTCTATTCATTTCAGCAGAAAAATCTTCAATGCTAATATCTTTAACAAAATGTGGCAATGAAAGCACATTTTTGAATTTAAATACAGATTTGGCCTTTTATTAGGTATAAAATACAAACTCATGGTGACATGAGAAGTTTACCTTTAAACATAAACTATGCTTTCTGTGAGCAGGTAATAGTCTCACCCACTCCATGACTGGCTGGCCGGATACAGGAGCACCTTCACCTAGAGACTCATTTTGCCAAAGTGCACCAGAGTGCCACAGAAAGTCATTTCTGCCTGTTGCCATCAGGCTTTACAAAGCCCAAGTCTGTGCTAATTGATTAAAAACAATGTTTGCTCTTATTTATTGATTAATATAGTGCATGTGATTGCTAGATATTTATTTATTTTTTTATATCTAGTCATTTTGAACTCATCACTCTTAAGTATATATATTTTACAAACTTTTAATTTCTTTCCTAAGATGGAGAAGCTTTCAAAAAATAAGCAATTTCCCATTGGGGATCAATATATTCTATTCTATTCTATAACTTGGCACTTTGCTAATTCTTGATGTAAAGGCAAAGCGCCGTAGAGCATCTTTCAGACCAGCAGGGGTTGCTAAATCCTCAGCGTTGGAGCTTGAAGAATCAGAACGCAAACAAGAGAGCACAGAGCGCGTGCATGAGTTTTTGTATGTGTTGTGTGGAAGGCAGGGGCGTTCGAAGCCTGCTGCTCTTGGGGCTGAGCAGCCTCCTGTGTGTATACATTGGAGCTCAGATTCCCAGCACAACCTCAAGGGTTTGCAGGGGGTCAGTGGGATCAATTGCTCTTGTAACTTAAGACCTTAAAGAGCAAGTAATTCCTCAACAATGAGGAAAGGGGTGGCCTTGTGCGTGCAGCTCACCATATATGTGTGCAACTAAGTGTGTGTAACCGTGTGTGTGTTTGCATGCAGCCAACAAAGGTGGGTGTGAGGCAGGGCTTGCAGCGGAGGCAGAAGGAGACAGTCTGCCGGGCTATATCTAATCTCGTCATCATCAAAGACCCCCACTTTACCTCCTCACTTTCTCCTTCCCCGCTGCTCCCCTCCAGCCCTGACTGAGCCCAAACAAACCATCAGGAGGGATTATTATGAGGAAGAAAAGGGAAAGGCTTAGCAAGCAGATTTCCAAAGAGCTTGGATGGCTCTTTGTTGTTGTTTAAGGCAGGTAGCTGACAGAATCTGGCGATGACCGCACTGCTTTGGTTTAAGACCCTGACTGCGTGTCCTGACCGTGGGCTATCCGTCCTGACGCCATGCGATGTCGGGTTTAAATACGTGGGCTTTCGCAGAGAGAAGCGCTCAGGACTGAGCCACATGTTGACTTTATTATCATGTTTATGTCTGACTCACTAATGGGGCTCAGTTTGTTTTCCTCAAGTGTACTCAGTTAGAAGGCTTCAGTCAATTGAACATACAAACACAATCTACAAGAATTACAGTTTTCGGAGTTTTTATAAGTGGTGAAGTTGGTCTTTTGAAATACACAATGTCATTGTAATAATGTGATAATACTGAGGAGTGTTTAATTCATAAAAAAAAAGAAGTTGCAGAAACATTTTCATCAACATTTTTGACAAATGACAGTGAAATTTGGGATCCACTTAAGGTCAGATCTAAATGTGGAACCTGATAAAGTCCAGACAGTTTCAGCATTAAATAGAGAAAGGGCCAATCACTGCATCAAGGTCGTCTTTCCCCTCAGTCTTGGATTGGGACAACCGCCGATCGTTTTGTCTCTGACACCTGTTTCTGATGTAGATATTCAACAGAACCTTCCAACAATCAACCAATACATAAACACACACACTGTGGACAACAGATCACGGATGGCACTGTTGATTTAAATCAGTAACTTGGTTCATACAAATCAGTTTCTTCCGGCATCAAGAATAAATAAATCACGGGTTGAATTCTACTTTGGCTAAAACATTTGGCTGTTTCAAAATCTATAGTGCTGGGAGATGAAAGCAAGTTGTAAAATGAACATAAAATTTTTACGTAGGTTTTGCCTTGTCGTCATACTGTTCTTGGTAGAGTAACACTGAGTAAAGGATAAAAATTAGGAAGTTGTGATAATATTTAATAATAATAAAAAAACCCTTCAGCATATGCTGCTTCCCTATTTTAAATAGCAATATTATAACAATCGTACCAGTAAAAATAAACTGAAGATATAAAAAATTGACAAATTAAAATTTTACAATCGCTACAAATACTATTGTATTAAATGCTCTGTTGGAAAAGTGACCTTAAATGACTTCTGCTGTGATTTGGTGCTAAATATAAAACTAAATTAACTTGGATCTCGGTGGTGTGTTGCCTCCCTAATGTAACAGCAGTAGAAATACTGAGGGCACACCAATGTTTTCAAAAGGGGTTTAAAGTCCTGTTAATGAGGTGCCAGAGACATTTAAAGCATGTTTGCGGTATTCTCTGTGGTACAAAGTACCAAGATTCACGTAGTGTTGACCCTCCCCCACCCGTTGCTGTGCAGCTAACTAAAAAAAAGGAAGCTATTTTTTCTCATTTTCACAGAAAAATTTAGCTTGGACTTTTTTTCTATTAAGGATATTTGTGGGGTGAAAACATCACTCTTACTAAGGTCATTCTGATTTAATGCAACAAAACAATTTCAAAATAAATCATGCACACACACATTGAATCCTGTACAGTCACTAATTTATGTGATATGAGTGTGCATTTAGGTTAGGCTTGTTTCAGTCCAGATTCGCACTAAAATATAAGAAAGATAAGGATAAAAATGCTTTAATCATGACTATTTAGTCTGCATATTTGTAGCCATGGTGGTATCATGGTAAAAGCCTAACATAAAATATCACTGGATCTATTCCTTGAGCAGTTTTTACCCGCCATTAAACATCAAGTGCTGCATGATGATAATCGGCTCAACAACTGAAGCAAGACATCCAGTGTTCAGAAAGGCTCAAGAACATAGTTTTTTTTCTTACCCAAGTGTAACTGAGGTAATCAGACACCAGAGTCACATTATATTTTCTT